TAGTCGAACGCGTTCATCTTCATCGTGCATTGCATTCACCAGAGCAGCCATCACCTCATTCGTCGCTGCTTTTTCGCCCATCTTTCCCAATGTAATACCCGCCACTTTTCGCACGCCTTTATCTTCATCGTATATTGCATTCACCAGAGCAGCAATCACCTCATCCGTCGCTGCTTTGTCACCCATCTCTCCAAATGCTTCACACGCTTGCATTCGAATATATTCATCTTCATCATGCATTGCATTCACCAGAGCAACAATCACCTCTTTTGTCGCTGCTGTTTCACCCATCTTTCCTAATGCAAAACACGCCCATAGTCGAACGCCTTCATCTTCATCGTGCATTGCATTCACCAGAGCAGCAATCACCTCATTCGTCGCTGCGTTTTCACCCATCTTTACCAATGCTACACACGCCATTAGTCCAACGTCTTCATCGTCATCGTGCATTGCTTTCACCAGAGCAGCAATCGCCTCATTCATCACTACTTTTTCACCCACGTTTCCGAATGCTTCACACGCCCTTCGGCGAACGCCTTCCTCTTCATCGTGCATTGCATGCGCCAGAGCAACAATCACTTCTTTTGTCGCTGCTTTGTCACCCATCTTTCCCAATGCTTTACACGCCCATAGTCGAACACCTTCAACTTCATCGTGCATTGCATTCACCAGAGCAGCAATCACCTCATTCGTCGCTGCTTTGTCACCCATCTTTCCGAATGCTACACACGCCCATAGTCGAATGCCTTGATCTTCATCGTTCATTGCATTCACCAGAGCAGCCATCACCTCTTTTGTCGCTGCTTTGTCACCCATCTTTCCCAATGCAAAACACGCCGTTTTTCGAACGCGTTCAACATCGTCGTCCATTGCATTCGCCAGAGCAGCAATCACCTCATTCGTCGCTGCTTTTTCACCCATCTCTCCCAATGCAGAACACGCCATTTTTCGAACATTTTCATCGTCATCGTGCATTGCATTCACCAGAGCAACAATCACCTCTTTTGTCGCTGCTGTTTCACCCATCTTTCCCAATAGTTTACGCGGATCCATTCCAAAATATGGCACTTTATCGCGCATTTCATTCACCAGAGCAACAATTACCTCTTTTGTCGCTGCTTTGTCACCCATCTCTCCCAATGCTTCACACGCTTGCATTCGAATATATTCATCTTCATCGTGCATTGCGTTCACCAGAGCAGCAATCACCTCATTCGTCGCTGCTCTTTCACCCATCTTTCCCAATGCTTCGCACACACATAGTCGAACGCCTTTATCTTCATCATGCATTGCATTCACCAGAGCAGCCATCACCTCATTCGTCGCTGCTTTGTCACCCATCTTTCCCGATGTAATACCCGCCGCTTTTCGAACGCCTTTATCTTCATCGTGCATTGCATTCACCAGAGCAGCAATCACTTCATTCGTCGCTGCTTTGTCACCTATCTTTCCGAATGCTTCACACGCCCATAGTCGAATACCTTGATGTTCGTCGTTCATTGCATTCACCAGAGCAACAATCACCTCATTTGTCGCTGCTTTTTCACCCATCTCTCCCAATGTAAAACACGCATACAGTCCAAGATATTGGTCTTTATCACGCATTGCTTTCACCAGAGCAGCAACCGCCGCATTTGTCGTTGCTTTTTCACCGATCTTTCGCAATGCTTCACACGCCCCTCGTTGAACGTGTTGATCTTCATGGTGCATTGCATTCAATAGTGCAGCAATCACCTCATTCGGCGCTGCTTTGTCACCCATTTTTCCCAATGCTTGACACGCATACATTCGAACAGCGTCGTCTTTATCACGCATTGCATTCACCAAAGCAACAATCACCTCATTCGTTGCTGCTTTGTCACCAATCTCTCCCAATGCTCCACACGCATTCATTCGAATATATTTGTCTTTATCATGCATTGCATTCACCAGAGCAGCAATCACCTCATTCGTCGCTGCGTTTTCACCCATCTTTCCCAATGCTTGATACGCACCTGTTCGAACGTCTTTATCTTCATCGTCCATTGCATTCACCAGAGCAGCAATCACCTCATTTGTAGCTGCTTTTTCAGCCATCTTTGCCAATGCTTTACACGCATCTGTTCGAAGAGAAGCGTCTTCATCACGCATTGAAGTTGAAAGTGCTGATAGATATCTCGAGGTTGGATGGTCTATTTCTAAATCGCATATGATTTTGAATATCCCGGTTTTTTGGGTTTTGTTTTGAGAGGCCATAAGCTGGATGTATTTATTCTGAATGAATTCGGTGTTTGATAAATTACTGGCG